TCTGAAATCTGAGTCATGGCCCAAAATTTGTTCCCACACACACACACACACACACACACACACACACACACACACACACACACACACACACACACACACACACACACCTAGAGCCTGGAAAGAAAATATACCAGAATTATATTCAAGTACATTTTACTCATTTCAAACATTTAAAATAAAAAATTCTCATTTGTTTAAGAAGGTTGCAGGCCCCCTGGGTTAAATTCACGTGCTGTGAAGATGATAATTATGTGGGGGTTTGTAGATATGTCAAAAAATAGCTTTATATTATAATGCCAACCATTTTTCTTGACAATTTTCATGATCTTGACATGTGGGCCCAAATTAAAATGAGTTTGACAAAAGCAACCACTTGTCACACGGCATTGTGAATTGACCGTGCAACAATTTCTTCTTCAAACCTACGGATTACAATCATTTTATCTAATCTACTGAAAGGAGATTAGATTATGTGACTTCAATAAATGTCATGCACCAACAGGAGGTTGCTAAGAGTCACTGTTGATCACTAAACGAAGGGCGTCTGGGCAGACACCGGTCTAAGAAATTTTTATTCCATTTTCTCTCGGTTGATTCAGAATCAGATCTAAACTTCATCATCAGTACACGACCGTTACTGTCTTGCAGTGCTTGCAATGAATCTGTGCATCTTTGAGGTCAACTCAAACAAAACCGTTTCTTTGAATACTCAGTTACATCTGTTTAAATCAGAGATCATAATCCCATATTTCCATAAATCAAATAGCCCAAACCAGAATTAGAATTACGGTGGAAATGTAATATGTCAGAAATATGTGATTGTTTATTGTTCACCTCTAAAGTAAATAAACAAATAACCTGACACAGTGGTACATTACATACTAAATTGGGGAGTGAATTGTTGGAGAAAGAAGGGAAGTTGGGGTGATTGGCAGCAAAATAAACACAATCAGGTTGTGGCACCTGACTGTGGTTATTTTGTGTTTATTTTTTGCTCTTGTTCAAATCTATTTGAAGTGTTGTGGTTTTTTGCTCCTGAAGGTGCTGCTGGCCGTCTGGGCTTGTCGCCAGCAGCTTGTTTGTGCTCACTTTGCTTTGGGGCCTACCTGATTTTGTAGTTGGGCAGGGTGTGCTTCTTCTTGATGACGCGTTTCAGCTGGTTCACTATGAAGGAGGTCAGCTGAGGCAGCGGCCTTCCCTCAAACTGGGACTTCACCTCAAAATCCACCAGCGGGTCATCGAGGAACGAGAACGACCAATGGGAGAAAGGCATGCGCGTGAACTGCAACCGGAGTCTGCCCACCACGCGCCTCATCTTGACGAACAGGTAGGCAGACTTGCCGAACACCAGGTCCACGTCTATGGCCAGGTGGAAGCCGCCATTGTACTCGATGTCCACCTCGAAGTTGAGCTCCTCGGGCATCCCGTCCTCGTCCAGCTGCACCGGTTTGATGAGTTTGGCTGATTTAAAGACCGGGAGAGAATTCCCCAGGGAAATGTCCCTGAGACTGAGCCCCTCCAGGAGCCGACCCGCCGTCTTGGTCTGCAACAGCTCCTCAAACTCCACCTTGATCTTTTTGGTCATCCAGTGCCGAACCACGGGGGTATCTCTAAGCTCTCTGAACAGAAACAAGAATATCGCATTGAGGAAATTGCACGTTTCTGTTCTGCCAGCGTCTGTGAGTTCGCTATGTGAAGGCGGCGGCGGCTGCTGTTGTTGTTTGGGGCTGCCGCCGGTGACAGCCGCTTCCTGTTGCCGGCTGAGGATGGCCTCTTGCGGTTTGGATGCAGCGGCTGTCCCGCTGTCTTGCTGGTTCGGTTCGGCGTGAGAGACATTGAAATAATCTTTTAGTGCGCTATCAGGCACTACTTTGACATACTGAACGGTCCTACCTAAGGGCTCTGGGTTTCTTCTGTATATCAGCAAGAACTGTAACATCAGCGTAACGACCGCTCCACAGAACGCAGAGATCAGTATTAGGTAAATCATTTTGAGCCGTCGCCTCCGCTGCCGTCTGTCTAAGTCAGATGCTTTCCATGGCCAAACATTTAATCGCGTCAACGAAGCAAGTTCCACCTGGTCGCTCTCTAAGCTGCCATATCATCTGCTTCTTTCCTGAGCTGGAATCTCCGCACCTGATTGGACAAGCGCCTTACGTTGTATGCGTGATGACGAAATCAGTAGGCATTTCAGTCGGTGCGTTCAAGGAGAATCAGATTTTAGAGATATTACCGAAAACATTTTTTTTATTTATATATATATATATATATA